AAAGGTGCTATTCCTTGCTCCGTGTATTGTCCACTTTCCATAGTCTGCGTCGCATGCTGATCTGCAAGCTCGTTAGCATGTACTCCGCAATGTCCGCAACAAAACTGCAGGTGCACGGACCAGCCGGCACACGTCAGTGTCAAGAGACGCTGCCAGATCTGGTCCTCCGTCCAGTCTGTCTGACTGAGCGGGCCCTTGTTTAGAGCCGCTAGAAGAGACTGACTGTCCGTAACCACAAGCAGGGTTTTACGCCTGTGGCGGATACGAGGAATCATCAGCTTCTCTAGGGCTAGAAGCAGCGCACGGGATTCCGTCCTGTAGCTGCATGGGCGCGCACCGCAGTTTATGCTGGCCTTTTCTATTATCTCCGATGAGTTGAGGGATGAAAGCAGTATTCCAACCCCTGCTGACTTGGGAACGTCGACACCGCCATCGGTCGCAAGTATCCACGAACGATGGCTGTGCAGCGCCAGAGCCTCTTCGCTGACTCTGCGCTTTTCCCTTATCAGCTCCTCTTCGTCAGTTATTGAGTGGTCTATCGGAAGTTCCACACCGATGTTGACCCGGTGAGCGGAGGCCGCAAACCAGGGAGGAATGGAGGTGCGAAAGAACCGCTCTTCGCGTGGTGAGCTCTCGGTGATGCCATAGTCCTTTGTGTATGCGTCTACGAAGGCATATGGCTCGTCCCGAGATAATGGCGAGATGCGGAAACCGGCGCGAGGTGGTGGCTCAGGCGGGGGTCTCCGCATCCAGTCCATCTGGCATGCGCGTGTGTTCTCAAATATTGAGAGCCGCGCGCGCAGGCAAAGGACGTGGAGCGGCGGCATATTAGCCTCCAGCAGTGCGGATTCCGGGTCAACAGTGCTCGGAACTCCGCTGACAATGCGTGCTAGAGTTGCGTACGTCTTCTGCATCTCATTCTTCGCTGAATCCGTCGCTGCCGCCCATATGAGCTCACTGCCATAGCGTAATTTGGAGCACCGTATCCAATGACGAACGTGCGTAGGTCATGTGGCGATGGTCCCGCCTCCTTGTGCGCTATGCAGCGTAGCTACGATATCCGTTGCGAAGTGGCAGCGCATTGCTTGGTGGCCGCCACATTTAGCGTCAGTCGTGGTCGAGATCCATGCCGATAAGCTTCGTAGTTCGCGACGCCCCCATGGTAATGACTGGGGTTTGACATCCAGCCACTACCAGGGGCCACTTTCCTTCGCGATCATCATCTGACTCCGTGTGCGTGGATAGTGTGGACCAAGCAGCTTCACACTTTGATGGGTTGATGGCCAGGCCATTTTCCTGACTCCACGCATGCGGCTTTTGAAGAACCATGTTGGCAGTGGGAATGGCGTCTTCCCGGGACTGTCCCTTAACGATAATAGAGAGGTCGTCCGCATACATGTCTGCTGTGACACCCGCAAAGCTGTTCAGCAGACTGAGAAGTGGGTGAACGTAAAGGGAGAACAAATATGGTCCCAGTACGGACCACTGAGGAACTTCTCGCAGCATGGGACGCCGATCGCTGTGTCTGTGGCCAACTCGTGTCTTCGCGTAGCGACCACATAGAAAGTTTCTAAGCCACCTTCTACAATTCACCCCCGGAATATTAGCCAGCAAGCGACTGAGGACTCGATGGTCTATGGAGTCAAAAGCCTTGCTAAAATCAACCAGCACCAGCAGGGTCCGATGGGGTCTGTGGCGGAGTTGATTGCCAATACCGCTCTTCTTGGGAAGGCTCACCTGGAAATAGTGATTTCTATTATGCACCACTTCGTGTATCAGGTGTGCCAGCCGCATCGTCGTGGTGCGCACACTACGATATGCATACTGGTGGGGGTGCGGCGTCCACACCCAAAGCAACCTCTTCAGTACCATTTTCTCAGCAACCTTACTCACAATGGAAGTAAGGCTGATGGGTCGATATGACTCAAGCAGTTCCGGCGACTTACCGGGTTTTAAGAGTGGAACGATGGTAGCGCGTCTCCACTCAACCGGAATCGTACCGGTCGTCCAACTGTGGTTAATGCAACGAAGAAGGAATCGGAGGCCCTTTGGCGAAATATGTCGCAGTGCCTCACTGTAGACTTCATCCGGTCCGGGGCCTTGCCATACGGCGTATTTCGTAGCGCAGCAAGCAGTTCCGTACGATTAAAAGGTGCATCAAGAGGGGAGTGAAGATGAGCAACTATCCTCGATGTGGTGGCAGCTTCGTTTTTATCCTGTGGCTCAGAACTCGATGAGAGTGAAGAACCTGAAGTAAATGTAGCGGCAGACTCGCTGTTGTTCTGCTGCCTAAAAGGAAAGGAAGAATTAATGTTCAAAGATGCACTCTGTCTGTTGATGCCTTTGGAAAACCTACTGCCTTGTGAGAGGGGTGAAATGGAAGAAAGATGCGATTGAGAGCATTCGCTGCTCTCCTTGCTGTTTTATAAGTGTGTTGACCATCTCCCAATAACATTGATGTGGGAGATGGAAGTGATGCCTTTTTTCGTCCGGAAATGTATTTCCATGCGAGTGGCTCGCCTGGATTTAACTTGCTGATGCGACGTAGATACGTGTTGCGCAAGCGCTCTCGGAGTAGGAGGAAGAATTGGCTCCTTGTCCGTTGCGTTTCCGCCTCACGGTCGGGCGTCGGTAACTGTAGATAGCGGGCCTTGCTGTCGGTAGCAATCCGCTCTGCCTCCATGAGAGTGTCGTCCCAAAGCCTGGGACCGTCCTTGTGCATGCCGCGGGGGCAATGTCGTCGATACGAAGTTATAAGCGCTCTCGTGAAAGCCTTAATGCCGGTGGACTGCTTTTTATAGTCGTATGCCGGAAGTTGTGCGTCGAAGTCCTTGATGAATAAATCCCACTTGTACTTCCCCAAACTGTAGAATATCCTAGGTGCCGAAGGTATGGTATCCTTAAATGCCTGATGCAGCGTAAATGTCAGCATATAATGATCACTAAGCGGCGACACGGAAGCTGACCAATCCGACACAGTAAAATGCTTTGACAATGTCAGATCGATACGGGATCGTTCTCTTGTGCCACGGGCATACGTGATCTCACCAGGGGTGTTAACCAAGGTGAGTCCCGCATCCGTGCACAGTTCTAAAAATTCTGTGGCAACCTCGCTTGGAGAAGTCTCCAAGAATGGCTCCCACTGTGGGTGATGCGTGTTGAAATCCCCGCACAGAAGGAGCGGCGACGAGGCTGGAAGGCAGTTTACTAACCGCCTGAAGGATTGCGTTACTTGCGGTGGTGGTCTCATATAGGCACTCGCTACAATAAGATCACGGTTCTGGTCCAGAGCAACCTGGACCACCACCACTTCAAGGCTGGTGTCATGCTGGGGGATGGTGAGAGGTACACGCTTGGAGCGGAGAGTTTTCCGCACCAGCACCGCCACACCGCCGCCCTTGCCGATGCGCGACTGTGCATAGAGCACATAATCTCCAGTGTGCATGCTGGCGATCTGCTTTGACGACTTCCAAGTCTCCTGGATGGCTATTATGTCTGCTCCTTGCGCCATTAATGTTGCGAGTTTTGACGGCGTGAGGCAAGAAACGTTCATCTGGAGTACTGCTATGGGGCCTGGGTTCTGCTCAATGTCTCCGCTTAGCAGTAGCTTTTGTCGTTGCACGTCACATACGGCACGCAAACGGTATGTATAGCGCTGATAAGCGCCGATGGAATTCAGCAGCGGATGCAAATACCGCTCCGCGGGCAGCCATGTAAATGGCTCCATCTGGTGCCCTTCCGACCCGTTTGTGCGGCGCCTCCTGCCTCTCCGCGGGCAGCGGATGGGCAGCAGGCGCTTAGCTTCCTCTCTAGCAAAGAGTACTAGACCCTGGCACCACGTCGCGGTGGCCGGCTGAGCCAGGCCCCTCCGGCCATCATTCGCCTAGTCGTGAATGATGGCGTTCCGGTTCCCGACCATGTGCGAGATCGCGGGGGCCATCGCGACGTTTATCGTGGGGTGCCGGAGGGAAAAGCCGGGCGCCCGCCCTTCGCGAAGCACGACGGCCACCCGCCGCGGCCGCTTTTTTCTTCTTGGGCTCGCAGCGTGTCGGCGCGTCTTCTCGCCTCGCCGCCGGCGGCTCTTCCGCTTGTCTTCGTGGCGCGCGGGCCCCATTGCCGCTTGCGGCGCTCAAAAAAGTTGCCCCGCCGCGGCCGCACGCGTTTGCGCCAGGACGGTCGCGCGTTCGGGGGTGCGGCCGCTTTCCGAAGACGTTGGCTGGTTTGGTGGCGGTGCTTGGCGGGCAGGGGGTCAGAAGCAACCTTCCGAGGCGGCGCTGTATTGAGCAGGGTTTTCTTTTTGTTGCGCAGCGTTTTCGCTGTTGGAATTTTTTGTTGTTTGTTCGCGGGTTTTGGGGTGTTGCGGGGCGGTGGATCGTTAATCGTTTGGAAGGTGGATGGCGCTCATTACACTTCATTGCTGGTTTGAATTTTTTTTGTTTGTGCCTGTTTTTACTTTTATTAACGGACAAAAAATAACTAATGGTGATCCTTTTAAAAAAAAGATTTCTTTTCTTTCGAAGTGTAGCAGCTTGTGAAGAGAATTATCACGGGAGAACTGGCTAAATTAATTAATGTATATGTGTATACCGTGATAAAAAAAAGCACTTCTTTATGATATTTTTCTACCGTATGAATTCTTGGGAAGAACGCGACTTTAAGGGGCAAGGAAGCGATAGCGGCCGGATGATTTTTTATTTTTATTTTGCCATCCCACCCTAACCCTCTTTTCATTTACCACATCGCGGCGGGGTCTTGTGGTTGGAGGACCCCAAAGTCTGCCACGTCGTAAGTAATAATATTTCAAATCCTAACTGAGGACAAAGGACCATGCTAGTGGTCCACAGAATTCTATATATTGAATGAAAATAAAACATTGAAGCAATTAACTAAATAACCTTTTTTCCCTAACTTGTTTGGTTTCCATAGATTGTCAGGATCCGGCCAGCGGCCCAGAAGATTATTCTGTATTCTTTTTTATCCAGGTTTATTAACGGTGAAACATGGCCATTATATCATCCTTTGTTGCATTCCAACGCGTTGCTGTTGCGGAGGACCACGTCACACCCCCGATGAGGCCGGTGATCGATAAGATGTTGGAACGTCTTCCTCGACACGATACAAAGGTAAGCTATCAGTATGAAGCGAATGTCTACCATTTCCTTGTTGAGAATGAAGTTGTTTATTGCTGTGTTTCAGGCAACCAGTACCAAAATCGCACGGTTTTTGGATTTTTGGTACAGGTTCGTGATTCATTTAAGAGCCAATTTGCTGGAAGTGTCAGTAGATATCCCCGATCTTCTGAAATTACACCTGCTGTTTGTGGTAAATTTTGTGCCACTCTTTCCACCTTGACACGCACATTCAATGAGAACCCTCAAACCGATAAGATTGGGAAAATAAATGAACAACTTGATAATACAAAACAAATTATGCTGGAGAATCTTGACAGATTGATTGATCGGGGCGAACGTATTGAAAACCTTTGTGATAAGACGGGACAACTGCGGGACGAGGCGCAAGGGTTTCATTCGAATGCCAGGGCATTAAAGAGAAAAATGCTTCTTAGGAACATTAAACTTGCCATCGCTCTCATTTGTGTATTGGGCCTTGTAGGTCTGATTGTCGCATTTATGATTTGTGGAGTTGATTTTAAAAAGTGCAAAAAATAGTGTTTTGTTTTTCGCTCTTTCTGCGTATTCCTTTTGTAGTAGATTTTTTGCGTTTGGTTTTGTTGTACTCCCAGAATGTTGGGAATAAAGACATTCAGCTATCATCTTCCTGTTTTTTATTCCATCCTTCAATGTTAAAAAATTTTCTTTTGAATTTTTAAAATCTTTATTTTTATTTTTTATTTTAGCTGTTTCTAAAGTGATAAATGAACGTTCTCACTTCCGAACCTACAAAGTGGGCGGACACCGTAGAATTTTCCATTGATTGTTTGTTTTCATCTCAATCAGCAAGGAATGTTGAAGATGTCTTGTCGAAGGCGTCCACAAGAAAGCATCAGAAAAACTTGTTGAAGGCGGTGGAACCATGTATAACAAAAATGATCGAGAATCCCAACGGCATTTCAATTTTGACATCCCTTGTAAAATATGGAACAATTGTCACTGTTTCAAATGTTACAAGGATAGTTCTGCATTCATGTGAAAAGGTTCTTACCTGCGAAAAGGCGCCCGTAGAGGTTTGTGAAGCCCCTTTGGGTGTTCTTTTGGAGCGTATTCTTTATCGTGAGGATTGCACCGAGGATTGCCGAATGAATTTAATAAAAATATTGAAATCTCTTGACCATTCTCTTCTTCTTGGGTCCTCGGTATTTTTATTGGCCACAGCTCGTTTGATGATTTTTGACAGAGCGTTTGCTGTATCCGTATGCTCTAACATCAAGGCAAAAAAAGCATTTTTTCAATTGTTTTTGATTAAGACAAAAAAAAATGTGGTGATTCGTTTCTGTGAATTGGTGCTTTCCATGCAAGAAAGAAGGGAAGATCTGACGGATTTATGTTCCGTTTTTGTATTTAATGCTCTTCATACCCTATATACTGCGAATTCTTCTCTGCGCCCATGGAAAGAGGTCACAATGCTTTTAGCTTCATGCGGGTGCATTGCCGTTGTTCGGGAAATGGTAAAACTTTTATCAGAATGGCCAGATATTTCTGTTTACTTAAGGAATGATCATTATGCGAAAGTAATTGCTTCTCTCCTAGCTCGAAACCCAGAAATGAATGATGGAATTGTATTGCTTAAAGTGTTATTTCAAAAAAAGGAGGATTTTGATGAAATTATAGCATCTCGAAAATCTTCGCAATTGCGGCTACTTGCAACCATTGCCGAGAAGCCGGCGTATGTGGCGGCTTTGTCAGAAACACTGGGTGAATCCCCCGGGAAAAGGCTTCTTGCTGCAGCTGTTCGCTACCGAAATATTAACAAACCAAAAGCTCTTGCAACCAAAGAGGTCCTTCTTCAGCGAATTGACAAAATACGCTCCGCTTCTGGTGCAATTGGTAGTTTGGATAAAACGTTGAAAAGACGACGTGAATAACTGATAGTAAAGGTAAAAATTACCAATTTATATCTTTTTTTTTTTTTTTTGTTTAAAGTTGCATTTTGAGGAAAAACAAAAATTATTTGTTTGCTTTAGCCTTTTTTCTTTCTTTTTTTCTTGTTATTTAAGGGTGTCTTCTTATTTTTCTCTTTGCTTATTATTATTTTTCCCTATGAAGTTGTATATATTTTAGGATATGAAGAGGTTATTATTTAATTCATCCATTTTCTCTATGGAAAGTGCCTTGCAATGTTCAAGACGTTACAACCTATTGGAGCATAAAACAAAGGGTTCAATGTTCATGAAACATTTGGATTTGTACGCTCGGCGAGATCCTCAGTTGGCGCCATATTTACTTAGGGAAGTGGATATTGAGTATAAAAGGAAATGTCGTAAGGTGTCTTTTTGTATTTGGATGTGCGTATTTACCGTTGTTACGGCTTTTCAAATGCGTATGCAGGGTGAGCAATTGCACTATTTGCGTTTGTATGCGGATTGTGTTCGGGCTGAACAGGATGCGAAAGATGAGGATGAAATTCGACGAAGAAAGGCATTTGTAGCTGTAGTAAATGTTGTTAGAGATGCTTTTGATCGAGATCAAAAATGGAGTAGGAGTGATCATGAAAAGGCCCTAAAAGTGTTATAACGGAGGTGATTTTGACGATGGTGAGAAAGGTTTACAGAGAGTGAGGGCATTTATTGGTGGTTTAACGTGTCTTCAGAAATTCCGAGTACTTTATTAATGATTATTTTTTAAATAAATTTTTAATAAAATAAATTAGACGATGCGACTTTGTCGTTTTTCCATGTCTATTATTGTTATTATTGTCTGAGAGAAGTGTCTTAAAATTGCAATTTATAAAACCTGAATTATGTTGCCCCAAACCGTAAGGCGATATCCTTAAAAAAATTATTTATTGTTTTATTTTATTTGTCTGTATATATATATGCATTTGCATACAGGCGAGGCGCGCTTAGAAAAATGTTCTTTCTAGTTGGTGCAATAGGCACACTTCTGTCAACATTCATGGCGGCGGATACTTTGTCACAGACATTTGGATTTCATCATGCCAATATGGGGAAATTCATGCTATTCGTGTGGATTTCTGCGGTTTTTATGGCTCCCTGGATGAGTAGTATAGAGATGCTGGGATGTCTTCACTGTGTGGCTTTTGTCAGTGCCGCTGCACGATTTGGAGAAGCAGGTCTTTCATACGACTTTGTGAGGATCCCACTTTTAACATTTGTTCCAACTTTTGGAATACTGAACATTTTGTTGAACTACGCATGGCCCACCGCTTGTGAGTGAGTACAATTTTTTTTGGAATTAATATATACATACATATTTGGGGATATATTCCCTTTTATTTAGATGTATTTCAAAAAGTTTGTGGGACGCACACACACAAAAAAAAAAAAAAAGGAAAAGCCATCTTGTTTCTTTCTTCTTTTACTACTGTTTATTATAATAATTATTATTTTGTTCAATTATTAAGGAGAAGCAGGGAAAACAAACATTTTTGTAATAACAAGATGGATTACGCCAGCGCTATTCGACAGCAAGCGGAAGATCTGCAAGATGAATTGAAAGAATTAAATCTTTGGCAGGAAGAGGTTCTGCGGCAAGAGGAGGCAAACAAAAAACGAAGGATTCACCCTGCAAACACAGATGCAATACCACCTGTGAGGGGGACGGTACCTTCGCTAAAAGAGGCTGTTTTGAATTCTAATAAAAGGATTTCCGAAGTAGATCCAGTGAAAAATGCGAAGGAAAAAGGTAATACGTTTTTTCAGGCCGGAAAAATTAAAGAAGCCATAGAGGCATACAGCACTGGAATAGACCTTGATGCTGAGGGAACTGTGGCGCATGTGTTGTACGGGAATCGGGCATTGTGCTACTTAAAGCTAGAGCGATGGGTAGATGCGGAAATTGACGCTTCCGCATGTCTCCGTTTGAATCATAGTTACTCAAAGGGGTACTTTCGTCGGGCTATGGCTCGAAAGCAGCTCGGCAACTTGAGGGGGGCACGCACTGACCTTGAGGCTGTTCTTGCGCTTATTCCGAATGATGCAAGTGCCATTAGTGAAATGAAAGCAATAACGCAGATGTTGCAATTTGAGCGAGAAAATGCTGGTCCTGTTATTAAGAAAAAAAAAGTCATTATTACGGAAGTCGATGAAGAAGAAGAGGGAGAAAATGAACAAAAGGGAGAAACTGATAATAAAAAATCTGGTTCCACTAGTAATGGGAACGAGCCTTTTGAACTGGAAAGAAGAGAGCACTTTCAAAAAGGGATGCAAGAGCTTGAAAGTGCTCGGGAGAAACGACGTCAACTACAAGAATCCAAGGTAAAGGAGGAAGAAGCAAAGCTTAATCAGAGGAGACGAACATCTGCACGAGTGGAAGTTATTGAAGAAGAGTCTGTCGAGGTGAAAAATGAGAGTTCAATTCCACAGGCAACAATGGAGGAGGAAAGGATTAAATCGATGGTTCTAAACTCTGTCGATTCAAAAACCCACCCGTTAAAATCAACTGAGAATGGGCGTGATTTGCAGAACATTGCCCCACGCAGCCTTAGGACATTTTGTAGGTCTTCTAAAGAGACGCTAAAGACACCAAAGTCGTTCACAGAGTTTGAACGGGTGTTTACTGATATCCGAGGTGATGAGGATCTCTGCTGTTATTACATCTCTTTGATACCCCCGGCGAATCTTCGCGCATTATTTGGAAACAATATGACACCAGACATTCTTGTTTGGTTATTGTCTACTGTGAAGCTGCTCCCAGGGAATGTTGCAATTGCCTTTCTTCAAGGGTTGTGTACGATTAAACGGTTAGAGGATATTGCTCTTTTTTTTGATAGTTCAGAAAAGAAGGTGGTCCAGGAAGTTCTTGACGTGATTCGCTCTTGTGGAGCGTCTCAAAAGGATATGACCTTATTTAGAGAAAAATTAAGGGTGGCGTGAAGGTATTGGATAAGGATCTGGATAGATTTGTGCGTGCATATCTGTTTATTTGGGCTTTTGGTGGGTGGGAATTTCATCTACCGGAAATATGTGTCTTGTTCCTTGTCCCTATGTGGTGGGTTTTTCCTGCACACGTTTTTTCTTCCATCGACAATGACAATTTAACAAAAATGTCCACAAAACCACTGTATTTTCTTTTTTGGCTTTTTGTTTGTAATTTCTTTTGTATCTTTAGTGAGATTGGCAATGGTTAAGGAGACTAAGTTTTACGACTCTCTGGGTGTTTCCCCAGATGCCTCTGTTGATGAAATCAAAAGGGCCTACAGGAGGCTTGCTTTGAAGTACCACCCTGATAAGAATAAGGAACCCGGTTCACAGGAGAAGTTTAAGGAGGTTTCCGTTGCCTATGAATGCCTTTCAGACCCTGAAAAGCGCAGCCGGTACGACCAATTTGGCGAAAAGGGGGTTGAAATGGAAAGTGGTGGAATTGACCCCACAGATATCTTTGCAAGTTTTTTTGGTGGAAGCCGTGCTCGTGGGGAACCAAAACCAAAAGATATTGTTCATGAGCTGCCTGTGTCTCTTGAAGCTTTCTATACAGGAAAGACGATTAAGTTGGCAATTACACGTGATCGCTTGTGCCCGGCATGTAACGGCTCCGGTTCCAAGGTTCCGAACGCCAGCGTCACTTGCAAGGAGTGTGACGGTCGAGGTGTTAAACTTATCACGCGTTCTATTGGTCCCGGGTTCATTCAACAGATGCCAGTGGCATGCCCCCAATGCCGCGAAAAGGGTACTGATATGAGGGAGGAAAGACAGTGCGACAGTTGCAGGGGCCAGCAGATCAAGAAGGATAAAAAGATCTCTTGAATTTTTCGTGGAAAAAGGTATGCATCGTGGAGACAATGCGACATTTCGGGGCGAAGGTGACCAAATCCCAGGAGTCCGACTCTCAGGTGATATCATTATCATCTTTGAACAAAAACCACATCCTGTTTTTACGCGTAAAGGGGATCATCTTGTCATGGAACGCACCATCTCTTTGGCGGAGGCGCTCACGGGGTTCACATTGAACATAAAGCATCTGGACGACCGTGATGTTTCAATTACATCTACTGGCGTTGTTGATCCCTCCAAACTGTGGTGTGTGAGCAGGGAGGGTATGCCTATTCCCAACACTGGTGGCGTCGAACGCGGAGACCTTGTTGTTAAGTTTCACGTCGTTTACCCAAGTGCCCAGAGTCTGCAGTCTAATGAAATTTCCGATCTGCGTAAGATTCTTCACTATCCTCCACAGCAGTCTCCGCCTCCTTCTGCTATGCTGTGCCATTTGTCAGAAACGAACATTGATCTTGAGAAGGAAGCTAAGCGTCGTCGACAGACAGGTGGCGATGATGACGACGATGCACCACAAGGGCACACTGGCGCGACTTGTACGCAACAGTAGTCCCTTTAAAGAAGGAGGAAATAAGAAAAAGAAGGAGGAAGAAATAGAAGAGGAAGCAAGAAAAAATTATTATTCTAGAAAAACTATAAAATCATGCTTGTTACTTTTTTTTTCTCATCCTCTCCCCCCCTGCTAAGGTTCTAATAGCTAAGCAATTGTTGAAATATTTGCCTCTTTTTCCGAAGCCGCCTGCATGGGGAGAGATAAGCGAGCAATTATTTTTCTTTATTATTATTATTATTATTATTATTATTATTATTATTATTATTATGATTATTATTATTATTGACCTACTCTTTTTATAAATTCATTGTCTGCCAAGGACAGGCGGTATTCTGGTTTCACAGGGCTTGGGATAATCCACTTTGAAGGTGTGTTTTCTACATTTTTGCTTGAATTTGTCTTTCGCACAACTTTTTTTTTTTTTTTTGTAGGGTGTTGCTTTTGGGAAGAGTGCGGGTCCTGGGGGGAGCAAAAGTGGATAAGACTGGGAGCTAACAATGCCCGGTGCGAACGTTCTGAGTTTCAAGCCACTCGGGGGGCCTGTGCTCGGCGTGTCGCATCGGCTGCCGTTGAGAAATGGAAATAGCATTCCTCAGTGCGGCTTTGGAACGTACCGCATGAATCCCACAGTGGCAGGAGCTGCCGTCGAATATGCCATACATTGTGGTTTTCGACATATTGATTGTGCTAAGGCATACGACAACCAGAACGCTATTGGAGATGCACTTCAACGTGTGATATCAACTGGCAAGTTGAAGCGTGAGGAATTGTTTTTGACGTCAAAGCTTTGGCCTACAGATCAACACCCAATTCACGTGGAGAAGGCCTGTCGAGAGACGTTAGCAGAGCTGCGTGTGGACTACCTTGACTTGTATCTTATTCACTGGCCAGTGGTGTGGAATCATTCACCGCATTTAAAGACCGATGACGAGAAATACCCCAAAGACGCCAACGGACTTCCTGCGGTTGATGATAGTGTCAAACTTATCGATACTTGGAGGGCTATGTGTGAACTTGTTGATAGAATTTGGGTGCGTCAGTTGGGCTCTCGAACTGTAGTGAGAAACATATTAACGAAGTTATGAGTGATGGAAGTCTGTATGCACCGGTGGTAAACCAGATTGAACTTCACCCGGCGTTGGTCCAGCGTGACCTTCTTAATTTCCACGGTGCGAATCAAATAGTGACAGCTGCTTACAGTCCTCTGGGGATGCCTTCAAGATTTACACACCCGAACTACAAGGGTTTGTTGTACGACGCATCATTACAATCCATTTCTGAGTATTCAGGATTTAGCGTGGCTCGTTTACTACTAAACTGGAACCTTGACATGCACAATGTCGTGATTGTGCGTTCAACCAACAAGGAACACATCAGATCGAACGCCAAGGCCTCTCTTTATGCACTCTCGGATCCCGTGAGAATGATCCTGGACCGATTCCAGGAGCGTGTGGGAACAATTCGTACAATCAATCCGACGGACTTCACTCGTGGCGGAGGGAGTTTCTTTGACTGAAACACTGATATCTGAGTTTTTGAGCCATTCCCCCCATTGGATGCATTTCTTGCTGTTACGTGTTTACTGGAGCCTCATCTCTTTTTTTAAAGGCTTCGACGGCAAAAGAAATGCATTTTGTGTGAGTCAATTTTTTTTTTTTCCTTCAAATATTGCTTTTCATTTTGTGTTTGTATTTTCTTTTAGAAAACAGAGGTCCGAATGGCTCTCAAGAAGGCAGTGAAGAATTCTGATGGAAAAGATGCTGAAACGGCTATTCTCCAATGGTTTGAGTGCGAAGGAGAGCCGGCGACGGTGCAGTCCTTAACAGATGCACTCGGTAGCAAGTTTGGGAAAGCACTTGTTCAGAGTGTTTTGGAGCAATGTGTCAGTGCAAAGAAACTACAAGCCAAGGATATTAAGAAGGCTAGGCTCTACTTCCTCAATTTAGCTGAGGCAGCGGAGAGGCATGGGGGGGTTTGTCCCGTGGATCCAGCAAGGATAGAACTCATGCAACAGATTCAACAACAAGCGAAGCTTATTTCGGATCTTTCTAAAGAGTTAAATACACTACTTCAGAAGCCGTCTTCTTTACAGAGGGCCTCTAACATTGCCCTGCTAAGCACAGAGTGTGCCGCGCTAAAACAGCGTGTGGAGAATGTGAAACGCGAAATAAACCAAGGTCATGACGTAAAGAAGGATGAAGATTTTTCACTCCTAATTCGACGGTACAATCGAGCCAGAGAGCTTTGGAGGGAACGTAAACACATGGCGGAGCATGTTATTGATGCCATCTTGGGAGACAGCTGTGACTCCAAAGACCTCGCGGATCACTTTGGTCTTATTAGTGACCAAGAGGCAAATGTCTCTCTGAATGAAACAGCGATTACATTTCCGAGGGTTGAGGGTCTTGCAGATGTGTGACCAAGAGCCACATTACAGAGTGTCGTGAGGGGGAGGGGGAAATGATGGGAACATATATGTTTTTTTTTTCTTGTTTGTTTGTTTGGGTGATGATGGGGTGTTACGGCTTCAGATTTATTTCCATGGAAGAATATTGGCTCCAGTGACATGTGTCATGGCTGGTATATATTTACACTTGAATGTGCCAGTGGCTTATATTGTAAATACATGTGAAAATTCATTTAATTATCGGTATATATTTTATTTTATTTTTTTTTGCTGTAGGATTTTTCTTGTGTCTCATCTCTGCCCCAAGGTGATTGCACGAGAGTTCCGCGATGGATGTACAAATCAGCGAGGAAGCCGATTTGAGCGATATCTTTGTGGCTCTTAAGGATGCTGTACACGGGCAATGGGACGCGGATGCAGAAGAATTGTTAATAAAGGGGCTCATGGCATTTCAGGCAAATTTTTCAGCTCGCTTTAGTTCAGTTCGTGAAGAGTTAGAGAATCTTGGAAAGGATGTCTGCACGGCTTCTATCCAGGTTTCGAATGCTATGAATTTGTTTGTTCTTCTCGCGCAAAAACAATTTGTTCAAAACCGTGTGTCTTTGGACGATGATGATGCTGATGATGATGGCTGCGATGCAAAGAGCAGAGTGGCGTCGGGAGAGACGGATCCCGGAGACGAAAAGCAAACGTCTGTTGATGATAAAATCTTGGAGGACACTGAGGCAAGAGCAAAGTGTGTGTACCAGGAGGCTATCGATCTTGGTGTCCGCGTACTTGAGGAAAGAACGATACCGTTGTTTTCAGACGGCACTGGATCGGACGAGGGAGCTACCGCAAATAATGACGCACCGAAAGAGGAAGACGACACATTTGCTGCTCATTACTTTTCTGATCAATACTGCCATATACATTTCATGGCTCTCATTGGCTCGGAGCGATTTCTTAACGATCCATACGGTGGCTATTTTGATGATGGGGGCGTAGATTCTCGGCGCTCTTCCCCATTGGATCACTCCTTGGAGAGTGAAGCGAATCAGTTGGCGGTGACAACAGAACAAGGACCGAAATTCAACGCGGCCAGCGTTGCGCAATCGAAAACCGCACCGCCACCGCCACCACCGCCACCGCCACCGCCACCGCCACCACCACCACCACCTCCAGCCTCAGCAAACGCTGTGAAAGCGCAGATAGCAGTGCCCCAGCGGAATAAAAGGGATATTTCTAAAGTTTTTGCTTCTTCTGATAGTTCCGATGAACCGGATAGTCGCCCAGCTCCAATTTCGCGGCCAAAGCCAAGTGGAAAAAGTGCCAGTGCGTTTTTTGAGGGAAATAATTCAGCAGACTCAACATCTGGTGATTCAGCTGACATGCCGGCACCAAAGGCCCCAACCAAATCTACATGGGGACGAAAGCCTGTCATGTTTGCCGATGCTTCATCCTCTGACAGCGACAGCGAGGCTTCACCCCCGGCAATAAAGGCCAGAACAGTTCCTTCAAGAATGCCATTGAAACATGGTTCATCGTCATCATCATTATTGTCCTCCGAGGGGGAAACCAGAAAGGCTGTACCGCCGAAGGTTGTGGTTGACAAGGCCAGGGCTAGCATGCCGCCGAAAACGGCATTGCCAATGGTAGCCCCACGAAAGGCAGGGGCGAAGTTTTTAGAATCCGATAGCGGTGTGAGTGATCACATAACTCCGGCACCAATTAACGTGGTCCAACCTACTGGAAATTGCACAAGCAAGACAATTTCAGGGAATTTCATGTTAGAGCACGAGAAGGAGGCCTTAGTTTCCCCTGACGAAAAGAATGGACAAACAATTACTGTGGGTCTTTCTTCTTCCGTGCCCGTCCCTGCTTCCTTTCCTCCATCCTCAGAAACTGAGCAGAAGAAGCCCTCGGTGGTGGAACGGGCTTCCATTAAGGCTATTGCTTCTCTTCCCAGGCGTGTGTGCAAGAATTTGTCGACATCATCCTCGGAGATTGAAGGTCCTTCAACGGGCAAAAGGCCCCCGTCACGTCCCACAAATTCCGGAGTTAGAAAGGTACCGCCACCGCCACCTTCCAAAAAAACTGAAGTCGAAGGTGCGACTCGTTTGTACAGCAGTGATTCTGATGTTGGAGGTGCTGCTTATGCACCACCACGAGTGCTTCGCAAGTTGACGGCTAAATGGGCGTCAAACAGACGCCGCGTTTACAGCAGCGACTCGGATATATGAGTAAGGAAGGAATGAGAAAATGGAGGTGGGTGAAGAGATTAAGTGGCGAATGGAAACGCCAGTGAAAATTCATTTGATAGTTAGGAATGTGTCTTGTGGGTATGTGGGCGTTTTTTTTTAAATTTGCACAATACCGACTGAAGGGAGAAGCAAGTGACAGGGGAAAAAATCAACTCATTAAGGAGAACGAGAAAAAATAGGGGGAGAAAATTTTTGGAATGCCATGGTGTCTTGAGGGACGTGTGGGCGTCGTGACTGGCGCTTCATCTGCTATTGGAAGACAAGTAGCTGCGCGATTGTATAATGAACACCATATGCGACTGGCCTGCGTTTCCAGAAGGGATTTAACTGCCCTCGTCCCTCCAGAGTGCACTTGTCTGAAGGCGGATCTCCTGTCGTCATCTGACGCTGAAGCCGTGATGAAGTCTGTTCAGAGAGCACTTGGTCCCGTCTCCCTTCTTGTCAACTGCGCTGGTGTGACTCTGAACAAGATTCACCTGCGCTGCACGGATGACGATTACGACGCAATAATGAATGTTAATCTTCGTGGTGCACTTAGCATTACCCGCGCGGCGCTTCGTCACGGTGGAATGTTAAGGGAGGGAGACGGTTGTGTTCTTCACGTCGGCTCTGTTGTGGGCAGCTTGGGCAACGAGGGCCAGGTGATTTATTCAGCATCAAAGGCCGCCTTGAGTGGTGCTGTGAAGTCATGGGCGCGGGAATACGGTTTGAAGAACTTGCGTTTTAACGTGATCGCCCCTGGTCTGATTGATGGCGAGGGGATGGGATTGGCGTTGTCTGAAGAGCAGCGCGAGTGGTGGCGCACGCGTTGCCCAATGGGCCGTTTAGCTACTGTGGAGGATGTTACTGATGCCATCATTGGCGTTAGCTTGTGTCGTTTCATCAGCGGCCAGACCATTCATGTGGACGGAGGTTTATGCTGAGAGGCCAATAACGCTGACGTTGCATATATTTCTCCTTTAGTTTTTTCTTATTTGCATGTGAGATCAAATTACAAGAAAGAAACGCCAACTCACACGTACGCAAAATGCGAGTGGACCAGAATTGTCAACTTTTTTACAAGGTGTTCCTTTTTTTTTTTTTTCTTTTCTCTCTATGTATCTGCATAAAGGTTCACAGGTAGCAACAATGCAGTCTACCGTGTCCCCCATGACAAGCACCGATAAGTTTCGGCGAGCTTACGATATGGGACTTCCTCCTGCTGTGATTGAAAGGCAGACAAAAGTTTTAAACTACAGCAGCTCCACTGCTGCTGCGTTGGCAGGGCAGTTGGAAAACTGCGTCCGGTTGCTTCGCGGACACTGCGCGACACTGCACTATTGCAATGAAGAAATTGAGGGTGCCTTGCTGACACTTGGTGTTGATGTGACACATTCTTTACTTTCTTCCATTAGCGGTGTTATTGAGGGCCTTGAAACCGTGGCGGGGACATGCAAGGCGATGTGTGAAAGCCACTTTGAGGAAGTTCGACAGCGGGAGGACCTTTTTGCTTCGTTATGCAACATGTATGTCACCTTGAAGGAGCGAAATGAGTTCACGGAACGGGAGTTGCGTAGTATTGTTGCGGAGCGTGATCGTCAAAATGCCGCGTTTGACAGGGCGGTTGCATATGTAGAAACACTGATTGCGGAAAGAGCAGTTTGGCACGAAAAGAACGGGTATAATTGTGTCGGCCTCCCGTTGGTGGAGAAGTTGTTTTCGGAAAGCTGTCATGAGGCCCTCGATGTGTTCGACAGGATCGCACAGGAAACTCGCACTCCAGATGGAATGAGTTTGAATTGCATTCCTTCCAACACGGACACCCCTGGCAAACTTGTGAAAAGGTGGGAGACGATTGAGGATCTTCGGCATGCGAACGGGATGCCTTCCGCGCGGCTGCAGTACATTCCGCCCAGAGATGAAGTACTGCTTCTTCGTGAGGTGCTGGAAATGGGCACGGGAAGTCGAGTGTTGCTGCGAGATGTACGCGAGGAACGCAATAATCTTGAGGAGTGCAAGAAGAAATTATGTGAGCTCGGTGTCACGACCCTTGCCACCTTAAAACTCGCACGCGCGGAGTTAAATGGGTTTAGGGAATGGCTTACAGGCCTTGAACAACGCGGTCACCCGTTCAATACCTTTTTTGAGACATTTCGTGGTATGATAGTGGATCTTGAAAGGAAGTTGGAGGCCAATGAATGAAAACACCCCACCGAATATTGATGGATGTATACTACTGTTTCTTGGAAAGTGTTTCCCCCCCTTGGAACCTTTTCAATTTTTCTGTTCTGTCACCTTGGGGAAATGACTGGTGCATTCATTGTGTAATTTGTCGCATCCTATAATGCGACAGCGTCGTGCCCATGGTTTTTTTTTTCTTTTTTAATATGTATATCCTTGAACTTTGAGGGGAATCATGGACCGATATAGGTTGGAGCGGTACCCATGCGCCCGCACACCGACAAGCAGTCTGTACCTCGGCACCGATCTGACAACTGGCGAAAGAGTTGCCGTCAAGGTGGTTGACGGGAGCACCCCCTCCGGGAGGCGTCGGATGCAGCGGACGCTACACGGAATTCAACTGGTCTTGCGGGTCGGTCGACACACAGGCATTGTGGGCATACGAGGCGCTTACGAAGTGGATCAGAAGGCATATGTGGTGATGGACTGCATGGCGGGTGGCTCGCTGCTGGATTATGTCACGCGCCGGGGTCCACTTGGAGAGGCCGCAGCTGCGGCTGTCATGAGACGGCTACTTGTTGCCGTGGCACACCTCCACAGTTTTAGTGTGATGCATCGCGACCTGAAAACGGAGAATGTTCTCATCCAGTTGCCCAGAGACTACAGGGAACCACCGGAAAATGTCTGCATTTGTGACTTTGGATTTGCAACAAGTAATATACCCAACAACGAGTGTGTTGGATCGCCGCAGTACAGTGCCCCTGAAGTTGCAATGGTTGGCATCAGGCAATGTAAACTGACTAAATGTGATTACAGCTACGACGAGAAATGTGATGTTTGGTCACTCGGTGTCGTGGCTTATGCCATTCTCAGCGGGGCACTCCCGTTCGATGGCAGCACACCAACCGAGGTATTCACGAATGTTTTGCGTCACAACATACCTTTTCCACGCTCTGCCTGGCAGAATGTTAGCGAGGCCGCTAAGGACTTTGTTCTCTTCCTTATGACCCCGGAACCTTCCAAGCGGCCATCCGCGCTGCAGTCATTGGAACACCCATGGCTGGTTTAAATGTATCATGTTGTGCGTTCTTATATACCCATATTGGTTTTTTCCGCAAAACCGGCGAAATGCAATTGAGGAACGCGGCTGTGTGTTTTTTACTCTCACATGTGTCTGGGGGTCTTTCCATTTCACTCGGCCATTTGCTTTGAAGGCAATGCATAAATGCTCATTTACGTGCCTATCTTTTGATCCCGCGTTTATTATTATTATTATTATTATCAACATCATCATTTTTACAGTTTCATCTTGTTTTTGATGTATTTTCTGACTTTTTTCCCTTCCCCTCCCTCTTTTTTTTTTTTTTTCCCTCTACAAGATCGCTTTTGCTGGGAAACTCAAGGAAAGATACGAAGGACTTCATGTTTTGTTGTATTTCAAACCGTGTGCCACATGAGCCAGTGGTGTCAAGGCTCTCTGGTTGCCTGTACGAACGCTCGTTGGTCGAGCAATACATCGCCGAGCATGGCAGGTGCCCTGTCACTGGCGAGGCGCTGCAGAAGGATGACCTCATTGCTGTTCGCCCAACGGTGTTGAAGTCAGTAGCGGGAGGAGTGGGGGGAGCACTGTCGCCCAGCAGCGAGACTGTCCCAGGCATCCTGGCGAAGCTTCATTCCCAGTGGGACGCCATTATGCTCGAGCAGTTTTCACTGCGGCAACAGCTTGCCCAGACGCAACAGGAGTTGGCGCAGGCGCTTCACCAGTACGAGTCAGCCTGTCGCGTGATTGCAACGTTCATCAAGGATCGCGACGCAGCAGGAACTCAGGCGGATGAACAGGCAGCCGGAGAGAAGGCTCAGTCTTTACGCGACAATAATAACAACAAAAACAAAAGCGGCGGCAGTGGTGGTGGACTGTCGGTACCAGAAGCGGTGCTAAGGGATCTCGACGAGTACGACAAACTTCAACGTGTAAAGCGGAAGACCAGAGTGACCCCGCCATCGTTGGCATCTGAACAAAATGTGCGGGACTTTGTTGAAGAAGCCTCTATCGACGTGGCGAAGAGCGTGTGGGCCGCCGCTTTTTTTACAGACAACGCTGTTTTTGTTGGTTTAGATGACGCCACGGTTGCCCACTACGAAGTTAAAAATGGTCGAGTGTGTGCAACTGGCCTTGGGCATGAGAGGGCTGTGCATCACATCATCCTTCACAACACTGGCAGTGCCCTCCGTGTTGTTTCAGCATCGGATGATGCCACACTGCGCATATGGAGCTGTGAGGCGGAGGCGTTGCTGTGCCAAGGCGTTGTTCGTCAACACGACGGGGGCATTGTCGGTCTTGGAGGGGTTGTGGCTGGCCACCTGCTCCTCTCTGCGAGCGCAGCTCGTATCGGGCTTGCGGACATTGATCACATGGAGTCTATCGCGTCCATCACGGCAGCAGCTGAGGAACTCTCGGCATTCACGTGTTTGGGTGTACATCCTTACGGTTCACTTGCGGCGCTTGGAGTAGATGGCGGAGGAATTTGCATTTGGAACACACGTCAGATGTGCGTGGACACCATTGTCCCATTTAATGTTGAGAGCAACGTTTGCAGCGTGGCGTTCAGCGCAGATTGCTTCACCTTGGCGACAGGACTTGTCGGTGGCAAGACATTACTGTGGGACCTTCGAAAGATGTCTGGGCCAATCCACACCTTGTCTTCTCCGTCGGTAACGTCCGCAAGAGTGTCTCCCGTGGCGTGTAGTGAAGTTCCTGTCGTTGCCTTCGACAGCAGCGGTAAATATCTTGCAGTGGCGGGGAAAGAAGTTTGCCTGTTTGATTGGGGCAAGTCGACGCTGCAGAGTTTGGCGACTTTGAGCTCGCACCTGCAGCCCGTCACTGGGGTCTGCTGGGGTGCGGACGCACGGAGCCTTGTCAGTTGCTCGGTAGACAAAACGGTGAAGTTGTACGGCACTGCGTGAGCATCAGAGAGAGAGTGTGTGTGTATATGTGCGTGTCAGTTAAAACCAACAGCAACAAGAACAACAAAAATAGCCCTTGTGGCATTGTTAATGGAAGGCTCAAGGGTGAGGCCGAAGGAATACAAAATGAGATCAACGAAATCAAATAAGACAAAAACAACTGGAAAAAAAAAAGCGGATCACCGATGCGTGGCTCATCGCACGTCTTTGCATTTATTGACAAACATTTTTTTTCTCCGTTATTATTTTCTTCTCTCTCCCTTTCATTTTGTTGCGGGGGGTTACGCCCCCTAACTGCACGCAGCGACGGGTGGGTGCTAGGATGGATGCGCAGTCATTCGCAACAGCCGACGTGGATCCCACTGTGCCGCGGCCGAAAGAAGAGGCGGAGCGGCAGCAGAGGCGTCACCAGGACACCGAACAAAGCGAGAAGCAAGAGGATGAGTCATCCCTTTTCTTTTTGGGCGAATCTGCTTTCAGCGTCTATGAGGAAATGGCGGCCCAGTTGCGTCAGTTGGGTTGGAGAGAGGCGCGATCGAAGGGACTCATTGTGCAATGCGATCTTGTTTTGGGCGACCGTTTCACGATACCGTACTCGTTGCTGCGGTGTGAGCGGTTGCCGGCGACATCGCGGTACGGTGGCTATCGGTGGATTAATTATTTCCGCGGCTCGCACCGGCTAACTCTTAAGGCGTCAATGGCGCGGATACTTTCCGGTTCTGATGCCACCTACGATGAGTGGATGCCGAGCTCCTTTGTGTTGGGCGGTGACCAGAAGAGGCGACCGGATGATAGGGAGGCGTTTCTGCGTTGGGTGGAGCAGCACCCTGAAGGGACCTGGATCATCAAACCGAGCAGCGGCAGCAAAGGGAAGGATATTCTCCTGACACGCGGTCTCTCAGGGATTGAAAAATTCATTCAGGAGCTGGATCCGAGCAGCCGCAGCATCTTCGTGGCGCAGCGGTATGTAGACCGTCCGTTGTTGTACCGCGGAAGAAAGTTTGATGTTCGAGTGTGGGCTTTTTTAAAGACACCGTATGATATCTACGCCTTTTCGCAGGGGAGTTGTCGCACCTCGAGCGTGCTGTACGACGCGGACAACTTTGGTAACACGCTGGCGCATCTTACGAACCACTGTCTACAGGAGGAGTCGCCACAATTCGGGCAGTATGAGAGTGGCAATGAGCTCTGGTTCCCGCAGCTCTCGGCGTACCTGCGCGAGGTGTACAAGGAAGACGTTTTTGGAAAAAAAATTCTTCCTCAGATTGGCAATATCATTCTGCGCACTTTGTTGACGATGAAGGGAGAGTTGGAGGTACTGCCTGACATGCCGTACAAATGCTTTCAGCTCTTTGGGTACGACCTCATCATTGACGAGCAGCTGAACGTTTTCTTGTTGGAGATCAACGGATCCCCCGGCGTGGCAACGAAATATTTGCGTCCGGTCGTGAAGGAAACCCTCGAAATTGTGAGCGGCGACGATGCTTTGCGTGTGTGGGATGTAGATACCGTGCGGTTTGTGAAGTTGTGGGGAGTCGGAGACGCGCTTCCCGATGGAGCCGCACGGATGTGACTGCGGGCACTCAAAGGGAAAAAGACGAAAGGGGAAGGTGGAGGACGTCGTATGTGAAGTTGCCGGTGTGGTGGGGGTCCCATCGACGGGCCACTTTGTGTGGTCTCTCATTATTATTATTATTATTATTATTATTATTATTTGCTTCCGAGAGCTTTATCTCATGCGCACTCTCTTATTTATTTGTTATTTCTCTCCCTTTTACTTTCTTCCTGTACTGCCGCTGAGCAGAGCAAGGACCAAAAGCCACGCGCAGGCACGATGCCACGTGACACGAGCAAAAACGAGGCGGCGGGGCCCACTGAGAAGAGCGACGACGAGCCGAAGAAGGAGCCTATCATGTCCCGTGCAGCCCGTCGTCGGGCAAAGAAGCCGCAGGTGACTGTGACGTTAGAGATGCGGCAGGCGGCGCGGGAGCGGCTCCGCGAGCTGCGCAGGCACCTCCGCCTGCTGAAGTCCAACGGGGCGCGCAGGAAGGTTGCGAAGGCAGAGGCAAAAAAGAGGGAACGGGAGACAACCGAGGCGGAGGAGGTGTGCGCGCGTCTTGACGTGGGTGCCAGGCCGCTCAAGAAGAGTAGACGCGAGTAAACGACGAAGAAAAGTAACGTACTACCAATCAAAAAGGAACGGTGGGATCGTTATTTTGTTTTAATATATATTTCCGTTTGCCCGTCTGCATATGCGTGTGTGTCTGTCCAGTGGACGTGAGGGATATGCACGAAATCCACGTGGGTATCATATTCCGGTGGGACCGTTATTTGTCTTGGCAACCAGTTTCTCTCTCTTTCTTTTCTTTCTATCCCCCAATCCATTCCGTGCATACTTGCAGGAGGTTACTGCAGTAAAGGGAAAGTAAGAGAATCTAAAGGAAATGAAAAAGGGACACCGTGGTCCTTCAACACCGACACCGGCGCCACCATTCCAGCATGCCGTTGTTGTGCCGGAGGAGTTGCTGAGGGATAAGACCGCGCGCGAGCGTCGGGCGATCACCCGTGGGTATCTTGCCCAGTGGCGGCTTGAGGAGAGGGAGAAGCCCGTCATTGAGCAGTTAGTCCAGCAGAAGATGACCGAAAGCGCCGCACAGGCATCATGGAGGACGCGTGTCTCGCAGCTGCCGCCGGTGCGTTTGCCAAAAATGAGTGACGCAACGGCAGCCCCACTGCCGGTGCGGATGCCGAAAATTTTGGCCAATTCTTTGCCTTCTTTGCGTGCAGCATCGCCACCGACGACGTTGGAGTCGTGTCGCCGCGTCACACCATCGCCCCCTTCCCCGCAGCCCTTCTCCAATACAGCCACTTCTTCCGCAACGGTGCAAACGAAGACGACAGCAATGCCGGGACCCGCGTACACCCGCACGTATTTTCAGTTGGAGGACTTTGATAATACAGACTTTGAGACACGTACCCCACAGGAGTGGGTGCTGCTCGGCGAGAAGGATGGCGGTACACCGGCCCGCTCCCGCTACTTTGATAAGCGGAGCAATGAAGTGCAATGGCTTCCGTGTCGTGTTGTCGCCTACGACGACGAAAGGAGCTGTTATCAGGTCGTTTGGGAGTCGAATGGCTGTAGCAAGTGGACGAAACGACTCAACATAATATTCGATGCGGAGGACGAGGCAGTGTGGCACGAGCGTGTGCGACAGGCGGAGGCATATCGGGCGGAGACTGAGGCAGCATTGCGGGGGCGGATGTACTTGCAATCTTTGGACGGAAGCCGCATCGCGCCGATGGACCAGGACCAGATGGACCGCATCATCGGGTTGGTGGCGAAGCGCTTTCCCCTGACCGCACTGCGCCTCGTGGAGCAGTGCACACGCGAGCTGGAGGAACTTTACTACTTCAGCCTGAAGCGTGCACAGCACTGGCGTGAGATGGCCAGCCCCGAGGAGCAGCGACGCGTGGAGCTACTGGGGTTGCCACCCCCACCGCCGTCATTACTACCGTCAACAACGCTGTCGGCAGGCTCGGGCGAGCTTCCGCCGAGTACGCTGCGTGGTACGATAGAAACACCATCGCCAAACTTCCGCGTGGCACGGAATTTTATTGCGGAGAATTTATTTCAAACGCACGCGTTACTGCACGATACGGTGTACGCCATCCACAATCAATGGAACGAATACAGAGGAGAGTTGTTGTGCATCACGCAATGGGACCCTCGTGAAACCCCAATTGGGCTAAGAAACTTCGAGGAGTTGCAGGCACATCGTGGCTTCAGTATTTCAGAGAAGCTGCACAACGAGTGGAGCGTAAATGTTCGTTGTACTATTCAAAACAACCTCGATATGCACTTTAAATTCTACGAGGATAACCTGGAGAGGTATAAAGTGAGCCGCATGTCTCGATTTGTGAATTTTGTTAATGTCATGATGAATTCACAGCTACGTGGGCTGCTGCTCAATTCATTAGAGGAGTTTGCGGCCTTCATCCACCGCTACCGTGTAATGCCAAGCGTTGACGACACACCGATGGACGAGCTGCAGGAGGATCTAGAGGAGGCAGAGCACTGGAGGCGTCGCCAAGAAGAATGGAACGAGAGGCAGCGCGCAGCCATGGCTGAGGCAGAGGCTGAGCAAGCCCGCAATGCTGGCGGCGGTGGACGCGGTCGGCAACGAAAGAGCGTTGCCCCACCCCCGGAGGAGGAAAAAGAAAAGGAAGTGCCATTTGTCTGGCGCCTCGGGACGTTTTGTAACCGCCTGCAGTACACGAAGCGTGTGGTGGAGATGACGATGAATCCCAAGGGACTGCGTCCGCTGTTTGTGTTGAATCTCGTGGAGGATTCCGGTCGTGTCGTCTTCTCACCGTCTCTGGAGGACGTCTCACGCAAAGTAAAGGCCGTGTTTGAGGGCTGTTTTGAGCTTGTGGACAAAATTCAAGGGATGGGCGATCAGCTGTTCCCACTGCTTCCATTGCAGCCACTGGCGTTGCAGCCACTAGACGTGTTCGACCCGGCTGTATGCGAGGCGCGGTCGATGGTGGAGAAGGCCCTTGCTGAAAACGTTGAGGCACCGCTGCAGCTTCAGCAAATGTACCAGACTTTTGAGTACGTTCTGCAGCTGGACACGCGGGAACTGGTGGAAGAGGTGAATGCACGGCAGTTGTCGCTCCCCGACTTTGACTGGACGTTTGAGCGCCTTTCTCGTGACCGGGAACGCATTGTGCGGAGGACGCCAAACCATGTAAAATACGAAATGTTTTTTATCGATTGCAAAGGAATAAAGGCGTCGCTGGTCGCCAAGGCAACCGACATCCAAAGTGCCCTGATGGAGGCTCTGGCTGAGCGAATGAGAAAGACGTGTTCGAACATGATCAGCGAATACAACAACATGAGTGAACGGATGGCGTTAGAGTCGCGCTCGCCCGAGGAACTGCAGGAGTTCCGCGACTTCCTCGACGGAATCCCTGCCCGACAAGAACAACTCAACGCCACCTTTGAGACACTGACAGAAGGGTTTGATCTCCTTTTCAAGTACAACTACGAGTTTTCCGCCGACGCATGCAATGATTATCGCACGGCGT